GATATTCAAGATGGCGGCCAAGATGACTTAAAAACTATAGGGTTAGTAAAAAGTGTGGAGACCCGCTGTTATTTTTTTAACGGCCCATACTAGAAAAACTAAACTCGGCACACCATTATGGCATGTTATGAAGTACTTTTTGGGCATAACCGCCACTTGGTGTTCATCCCCAAAATGGGGATTTTGGGGGAAACTCAAAAATTTCAAATACAAAGACCCATCGAGAGACCCCTCATTTTAAAGGTCTTGGTAAAAGAAAACCAACAATGCAAATTAGAGGTCTCTATCTCAGTTCAGTAAAAAAATGGCAGCCAATTGAAATTCTCATAAGTTCCCAATCCCAAAATGGGGGATTTTGGGGGAAACTCAAAAACTTTAAATGATAAGCCCCATCGAGTGACCCCTCATTTTGAAGGCCATAATAAAAGAAAACTAACAACGCAAACTATAGGTCTCTATCTTAGCACAGTAAAATATGGCAGCCAATTGAATATACAATTGCAAGTTATTTCCAACTTCTAAAGATTTCAATCAGCTTCCATTTTTTACTGGATTGAGATAGAAACCTCTAGTTGTCTAGCGTTGTTAGTTTTCTTTTACCAGGACCTTAAAATGAGGGGTCACATGATGGGTCTTTGTGTTTGAAATTTTTGAGTTTCCCCCAAAATCTTCCATTTTGGGGATTCACACCAAGTGACGGTTATGCCCAAAAAGTACTTCATAACATGTCATAAAGGTGTGCCGAGTTTAGTTTTTCTAGTATGGGCCATTAAAAAAATAACAGGGGGTCTCCACACTTTTTACTAACCCTGTATACCTGCTGTATCTTTCCCTATAGAAGAGACAGGATAATCATTTTTCACCACACTATGATGTTTTTGGCTGTATTACATACGTTAATTGGTGGCTGAAAGTTACGTTTTGCTGGCCATGCCAGCTGTCATCGTAATTTGGGGACCGAGCAGGTTTTTACAGGCCGGGGCCGCAAAATCAGCTGTCCGCTTACTTACTTAAACATGAATGCATTTTAAATACACAATCAAAATCCATAGCATTGCAATAGAATTGTGTTATTGTCACCGTTGCCTAGCAACTATTTATTTTTATTTTTGCTGATTCCTCAAATTATTTCTTCATAACCTTAAAGTTGTAGTTGTGTTGACTATCAGTGTGCATTATTATAGTGGTGAATAGTGGTAATAGGGTATAGTGCGGTGAAAAATAGCGTTCGTACCACGGACCGAAATGGTTTTGCAGCTCTCGATCGATTTAAGTTCTCGACTTCGTCTCGAACTTAAAAACTATCTCGAGCCGGCAAAACCTCATTTTCGGCCCTAGGTACGAAATATACTATTTCGCCTAGTTTGATGTTTTAATTGGAAAATTACCCAAAATAATAAATCAATATAAGTTTTAATAATTTCCACATCAATTTGTTGCCAAGTTACCTTATCAACAATGTGTTCAAGTATTTACTTGACTTAAAACAATATAAATCTATGGTTTCTGAGGATAAGTGCAACATTCAAACAGATCACAGTTATCAAATCAGTTAACTTACAAGCAGTTCTCCTAATTGATGCTTGTGCTGTACTGTGGACAGTGCATTATCCTTCTTCAGGATCTGTGAATGACTTTATCAACTGCTTTTTAAATTATAGTTTTCTTGAATTAAGAAAAAAACATTGTTCTTTAGGCTAGTCAAAATACGGTCCAACATCAAACTTAAGGTAAAAGAAATAAAATATATTTCTTCCCCATATTCTTCCCCATATATTCCAAAATATATGGGATTTTGTCAACAAAGGTGTCGAGAATATTATACTAAAAATCAAGAAAAATCCAAGTGGCGGAAAGCCGCCATTTTTAAAAAAACTTCTGCCATATTGGATTTATGTAAGCTTTTAGTAAAACATCAATAATTTGACAACTAATCGTCTTAACAATCTGCGGTTTGTCTTAATAGCTTCCTCATCAAGTTTACTTTAAGATAATAATAACTTTATACCATTTCAATATTGATTTATTTAAAAGAGCCAGCTTTAAATAGAAACAATACCAAATTTCGAAGATGTTTTTTTTAAACCTTTAAATGTTTGCAAATACAAACTCAGGTGATAAGAACATTCATATTTTGTGGCTCTTAAAAGAATCTGCATAAAATGTTGAACAATTATCAACCTCATATCAGTTTGTATATTGCTTTGAAGATATATTATGGGATATATTGTTATTAGTCTTCAACTTGGAACGCTAGCCGTGCTGCACCACTACATCTAGTCCGATTGAAATACACTTTGAGGTGGGAAAAATTGCTTTGAGAACATTTAAGACATATTTTGGAATCATACATTCATACATATAGGGCAATGTATAAAAAAAATCTGACAAAATCCGAGCATGAGAACACTGAAAAAGTAGGAGTTTTGAAACATACCAAAATTCAATTTTTCATAATAGACAATTACATATATGTGTCCGTGAACACGATAACTTGAGTAATTTGTATACAATTTTGATGAAATTTGGTTTGAAGGTGTACGGCGGGATAAACTTGAATGAGTTCGCGAACCAGCATGATCGGACCATGGGAACGGGGTTTTATGGGGTAAAAATTGGTATTTCTAATTTTTGACCCTCTAAACGCAAAATTTTCCAATTTCTCTTCAGACCTTCTTAAAGAGCTTAAGAAAACAAATAATTTAGTATATCAAAGTGTTTTTGTACCATTATTAGTTACGGATAAAATTCAAATAATTGTTATTTTAAAATTCACATGTTATTCTTATGGGGAATATTGTGAAATGTTGTAGTCTGCTTGTTTATGGATATATTTTGATCAAACTTGGTAAATTTATTTATTTTATACTAAGTTATTAATATTTCACAAAAAAACACACTTTTTTACCCTCCCTGTAGCAGCAAGCCTATGTACTCATAAACATTAATGTTAATTAAATACATTTAATTGAAAATCAATTCAGGCAACTGTAAATTCGCTTAGTCGGCAGGTTTGCTGCGGCGGGGGTATTTTATTACTAAGATAATCAATTATTGGTATTCTCTGACCCTTAAAACATAAAATTAGACAAAAAAATTATTATCCTGTCTCTTCTATAGGGAAAGATACAGCAAATATACAGTTTTTAAGCCATCTTGGCCGCCATTTTGAATATTTCAATTTGCTCAAGGGTGACAAAGTGGCACCCTGCAGATTTTAATTATGTAGGTCTTAAAGAAACAGAAAACACTAAAAAACATTGGGTGGACCTTACTTTCAGGTTTGGGTGAAAAATGCCTTTTGGCAACTAGACTAATATATTTTTTAATACTTCCCTACAAAAGATAATAATTTTGAATCTAAAAAAATTAAAACGTTGTTCAATAAAAAATGAATAGTTAAAATTTGCGATTGAATTGATTTAGCCTACTTCCATGACGTCAAATTTTTAGTAATATGTTTACCGGGATATATCCTCCTCACATTATTTGTTTTAGATTAGATAAGAGTGCATGGCAAATGAACACCTAATTACTTAATTAGGCCTTTAAATAAATACAAATTATATTTATCTTAAATCTTTATTACGTTTATCTTAAATGCATATTAAAACTGGCAAGTCTATGCAGCCTACAGTTCTTATTCTTATGAGTAAAAGTTTAGACTAGTAAGGGTCTTAAAGGAGTAAAGGGGCGTAAAGGGTCTAGTAGGGATAGTTAATTGTAGTACGGGCCTTCGGTCCTCGAGATTGCAGGTTCAAATCCTGCCTATAACTAATCTAATATCTGCAAAATACAAGATGCCACCCTCTTGGCGTAGCCTAGTCTAGAGTAATGTGTAAACAGTCCCGGGCTAGAGCAGTTTATCCTAGGATGTTAAGTTGAGCTACAAAAACAACTGAAATATAGAATGGTAACCTTTATATTAATTATCGAGAGCTGTGGAGGGTGTGGAGAAGGCTGTTAATTACCCGACTATGACATCAGGTTTATGGGACATAAACGAGTACATGTCCCGTCATTAATCTTGGTTAGTGCTTGGTGATATCGGTGTAAAAGTATTATCTTAAGTTTGACACTTTCATCAGCACTTATTACACAAGTTAAATAAAAAAATGTCTTTAAGAGGTGAAGTTAGGACAAGCAAGTCCACTTTACTACTTAACCTCTAAAACATAAATTCACTATTCATTTTAATAGATACAGTAAAATAAAATGGTTGAATCCAAAGTAACGTACTGTAGCCTATATATGATGAAATTAAATATACTACTGTAACTATAAATAGAATTATTCACACAAGCCAACCAACAACCCATCACACCAGCGCCAGAGACACACTCATGCTTGCTCCTCAAAATTATAGATTATAGATTTGTCCCAAACCTCATATGGTTTTCGATGGCTTTTATGTGGCCAGAAAGAGAATTCCACTTTCGAATCGATAGTACCAAAAACTATTTATTATAAGCTGTTGAGTGGTACCCATTCAACACTAGATATAGTTTCTGCTAAGAACCTCTACGAGTTAACAAGGGTGCTTATGTCAGAAATGAGACTTGTATTTCATACTTGATGTCATTCCATTGATTTTCAACATCAGTCTTACTGAATAAACGTGTGTACAGTGGGTTAATTTCTGGCGGTAGAGTACGGGGCTTCGGTCCCCGATTTCCCATGATTAAATCAAGATTAAAGATTTATATCCCAACATATTTTAACAAAACAATGTTACAAATAAAAAGTATTACAAATTATTTCTAAAGTAACAGATAAATTATTTTTTTTACTAAAACTAAATTTGGGATAGGCCTATCTATGAACAATACATTTATCCCTTTTGCAATGCATTGGAAATGCATTTACCCCTTCCTTTTTTTTCCTGTATTCTTTTACACTCTCTTTAGGTTGTGCAGTTGAGCAGAATATACAGTGTATGTAGTACACCAGGAATGGGATTGAATCTCGTCAGTCAGTGATAGCTTTTGCGGTTATCTTACCATCGGGTGGTATAATCTCGCTCTGTGTGATGATGCTGGTCATAGAAATTTGTATTTTGAGTTGTAGAAAATCAACTCCCATGGAGATGATTTATGGTTATGAAATGCAATCTAATCGTCTACTTTTCTAAATTATTTTGAAATATGTTTTTATATATCAAATTCTCTTTTACCTAATAAAAATCCTAAAGGTGGACGATTTAGCTGAACACGGTTTACTATCAGTCGATACACGTCAATTCTGACATATGACCATCCTGCACTGTGTTTATCTGTCCTTAAAATAGTTTACCAATAATTGTAGCTTTGACAAATTGACAGATTAGGGGATCTTATGATCCACGGTGTTTTGCCAAAGGAATAGTTGTTGATTCCTTCATCAGACATCGAGCTGAACCCCTTGGTCTGTAAATAGCAGCTTATTTATCTAACTCAGATAGCGATTATATTTTGAAATTGTTTCTAGTGAGTGTCTATTATATGTCTACTACATTCTGTGAGTGGCTACTTTTAATATGTTCATTTTGGATATATAAATGGGCTTCTTCTGGGCTATATAGATGGGACACCTATTTCAGTAGGCCTGTCTCTAAAAGTACAAGAAAAACATCCATATACTAAGTTATATTCATTTCAACATTAACCTACCAATCAAACTACTCTGGAATGCTAAGCATGAACATTAAGCAGACTGCAAAAATAAATCACTTCCGAAAGTTAAAAACTCGTTTTCACCTAAACCTAAGAGGAATTCTACCTTAGCCTTAAGCAAATCACATTTGCAACAATAAAAGACAAGATGAGAAAAGACACAATGTGTTTCAGAATGAAATGTTAAATCCCCTGGAAATAAACATGTGTTCTCATATAGTCTGAAATATGAGCGGTATGACGTAAACGTCTGTCTGTCTGTGTCAGAATTATGCTTCTCGTGTGTCATGTGACGGATCAAGGCGAGGGGCTTTACTCGAACAAAATGAAACACTTGTCAAAAATATCGTTTGTCGTAAAACTATTTTGTTAACTCTTGCCTGTCCGGATAGTCACAAGGATTATAATACAGAATGTAGCCTATATCTTTTAACGTCACCAACGCGTTGTGTATTAATTAACCAGATGACTACTTTCATATCACAATCGCTAGCACTATAGTGGAACCGTTTTAAAAATTATATTCATGTTAAAAGCCGTATTAATGTATAACATGATAAAGCATTTAAAATCACGTCAGAAGCGAGTTTTTTTTCTATTCGGGTGATGTCTTAAAGGGTAACCAGTTTTGAACCATCTAATCAATGTACATTTGAAATAGATTACCGTCGGAATTTAATACTCAGATAAAAGATTCAGTAGACTATTGTAGCTTAGGTCCAATAACGATAGAGTAGACCCTCACCAATCCGGACCCCGCTAACCCGGAGGTAATTTGGCAGCAGTTTATTAATATGTAATATAGATAAGTCAGGAATGCTTTCAGCCCGCAATAGGCACTTGCAACAAGTACCCAGCAAAGCAAGGGCTAAGCAAGTATAGAACAAGAATGAACTGTACCTGTAGACGGCAACGGGATTCGTCTCATGACATCACCGTCCATTGTGCTGTTGACACACCACATGTCCACATTGTCAGACCGGGAGGGCTGGAACTGCACTCACGGTCAGTCCCTGGTCCTAATCCAACTACTGAACTGCACTCACGGTCACTTTGAGCCTTTCTGGGGGTACCGGAACTGCACTCACGGTCAGTTTTTAATTAGCCTATATCACATTGTGCAACACCATGATTGAATTGATTAAAACTTATTAAATTAGTTTAAATATATTGAAAAGTTTTGATTAAATTAATCTAAACGTCAAAAATAAACTTACTACTGACATTGTAAAAAATACACATATATATCTGCACAGAAAATTCTAGCATAGTATTTACGATAACATGATAGGCTATATTCTTATTATAACGAAGCTTCTTTTGTAAAGGTTTCTTGTTGGGTTAGGTTAGGTTAGGTTAGATTAGGTTAGGTTAGGTTAAAAACGTGTATTAAATAAAGTATTGGATAAAGTAAGACAGAGGACGGAATAAACAGATGACTAAGGGGCTAGCGAAGCGTTCAGCCGTGAAAGACCGATTTTTGACCGTGAGTGCAGTTCCATATGGCTTAGGCGGGCGACCCTTCCAACCCTTGTAAATTCCTTTGACCGTGAGTGCAGTTCGTTGTCAGCCGTCAGACCCACACACACCACACTGTCAAATAATTCGCCACGACGTACCCAACAAATAAAGGGCTGCAGGTACAGAACAAGAATGGACTTTACCTTGAATGGAGAGTATATTAGAATAGTATATTACGTTACTAGTCCTGAAATAGTATATTACGTTACTAGTCCTGAAAGTAAGTGTTTACCGGACGAGTGTGGTCGTTCCCGTGCGAGACGAAGTCGAGTACGGGATTACCATACGAGTCCGGTAAACACTTTTTGGACGAGTTACGTACGATATTTTACGCCAAACTACTTAATCCGTACAAATCCTTATATATTTCCACCAACTAAAGGACTAAAAATCACTAGTCATAACCTCTAAGAGAGGTTATGTTTTTGCTTATAACCAATTATTGCTACCTACGCAAATACAGTATAATCAGCTGATTGGTGTCCGGTAAAACTCATTGCAGAACAGTATCACGCAATGAAACCCCATTTGAATAAGCTGGCGGCAAACAGCTGTTTTCTGGACTAAATACTTTCGTGGGAAGTTCGTTTAAACAATGTAGTATGGCGTAAAGATATTTGCCTGTAAATGTGCAGAATAAATTTATAAATTTAAATATTTACAAAAACAAGCACAAACAAAATAATTTAAAATTAAAAATAAAATTACATGGGCTTTATGGGTTGCCATGTTGGTGACGAATAACATAAAAATATAATCGGAAAATCAAAACGAATGGAAGAAATTCCAATCCCATGTTTTATTTATAGCGTGGGGTGAAAATAGAGAAGTTCGCACAATACATTTTTGGTCGAGTTTTCGACCACGGGTGAAACTGATCATGTAAAAAGTGTTTTATTCTACATAAGAGTTAACAAACAATCTCAGAATAGAGCATCCTTTATTTATTTCATTTGATCCTCATTCAACCTTATTTCATTCATCCGGATAACTTGAAATATCTATTACTGTAGTTCGGATTAACGAGAGTATACTATACAGTAGTATAGTAAGGTAAACGTTTAATATACAGTATGTAATCGTGTACATGTACATACGTGTGCAACAAATCTATCGACTCATCAAAATATTTTTAGCAGAGTTCGTGAATATCAGTATGCAATATCTTAATGTTTTGTGCAATTAACTATAGCTATATTTAGAAATTTTGTTGTTTATTGTGTTATAGTTTGTGGGATGTAGTCATGCTCTGTTTGTTCTTAACACGTGAGTTTAAAAAATGTTTATTTTACCGTGATGAAAACATTTCTAAGTAGGTTTTCAATCTGATATAATCGATATTAATTTAAAATATCACGTTGTTTCCAACAATAAATTAGGTCACTAATATTTAACTTAATAAAGTTAATAAACAGTATTTATAATGTTCATTGACATACTTTACTAACTTATAATTCAGACTTTCAACTGAAATTGTGACCATAACAAGGTAGGTATTTTAAGCCAAGTATGAATGAGATGATTGTAGGATGAGTGGCGCGATCTTGTAGTGTTGTTATTGACTAAGGCCGACATGGTTAATTATCCTATGTTAATCTCCATAAAGCGAAATTATTGTTATTTAAATGATAAGCTCATTTTTAACGAACTAATTTGTGTGTTTGTAAATAAATTAGGTATTTAATAATTTATGCACATTTAGACAGTAAATCTCAAAATTCACAATTAATCACAACAACGTGCAAATCTTCCAAAATCGAGAGGTGTTATAAAAGTATTCAAAAGTCATTGTGATTCTAGGTAGCTAATATGAGTCGTGTGCGATTCCTGGAATTTGTCAAGTTTGTTCAATTAGTCAAATACTTTCTCCCGATAACTACCTGCTAGACGTAGTGACGTCAACGGAATCAGTGCTACCAACGGTAACGTGGATACGTGAAAATCTATTTGCCATACTACAAAAGTGAAAATCGTATTTTGGCATGTAGGCATACAGATCTGTAACTCAATGAGCTAGGATTGTAAATGAGTCTGATTCCACTTCCGACAATATAGCCTACAGTAGAACCTCGATAAGTTGCTCGTTGGAATTGCAGTATAAGACTTATTGTCAAGGTTGACTTTTTATCGAGACTTGCAATAACGTGTGATTAGAAGTAAAATAAATTAAAGGGGGTTTGAAAATGACCCTTGGTATCAAATGTGACTTGTTGCTGATGGTCTTGTTATTGAGTTTTACATTTACTAATGTGAAGTAATAAATCACAGACTATAGAGTAAATGTTACTTTACCAACAAATGCTACGTTTAGTCTATAGTATGCATAATAAATATTAAAACGAGGGTCGACTTTGATTGCACCTCTCGATTTTGATCATCAATATACCTAATAGGAGAATATAATACACAGAATATAATAATAAAATATCACAGTACCGTAGTTAAGTTTACTTTGTTATTTTTTAAACATATCGACACAATTCTTCATAATTATTATCTGCATTGAAGAAAGCCTTATGTTAAAATATTACTACTTACACAAACGTATAATTTAAACTATCAAAACTATAAAATAATATAAAATTTTCGTCTTCGCCTAAATTAGAAGAATTGGGCGTGTTTTTTATTTGGCTATACATTCTAGAAGCCACTTGCCTATTAATTTTATAGTTTATTCAACATATTTCTTACCGTAATCACTGTAAAAACTTGAAACAAAATGCTTACGTGCACAACCTCTCAGTAAAACTACGTTCTTCACCTTAACTCCACAAACCCACAGATTAGCAAGTTGGGAATTTCTTTCTTCAACGTTGGCAACACTTTCCACCACCGGAACCCACTATCACCTGTGGTAGTTGTGGTAATCTTAGGAACCTCTTGTGGACTGTCAGTAGTACAGTAGCATTGTGGGGAAAGTCAGAACCGGGGTGTATTAAAAGTGTTAAGGTGATTGCTTGGAACATGTGTATTTAGCTTGCCGTCCGCAGTATTGTGTATTAGTGTTAGTTTCTTTTGTACTGCTCTTAAAAGTGTTAAGGCTTCGTTTCTCCAGTAGTGTCTAGGTCTTCAACCGGTAAACTAGAGGTCACCGGGTCTTAGTTTATAGTGTTCTTACGAGTGCGTACATCTTACCAGAAAACTTTAATCAGTAATCAACTAATTTAAATTCACGGTTAAAGTTTCATTTCGGGTTTCGTTACTTTAGACGGTTCTTTGGCCTACCATAACCACCATAACCTCAGTTTAGTTAGTGTTTTAGAAAAGTGTTTCACAGCTTCACCCCTATGACTTCCCTGCTCTGCCTCCTCGCCGTTGTTCCTCTGGTATGGGGCTTCAACTTGGATCCTCGACACGCCGTCGTACTGGACGATCCGGAGTCTGACCGTGGAAGTTACTTCGGATACGCTCTGGGCTTCTGGAGACAATCCAAAGGAATTAACACTACTTGGTGAGTAACTGATTCAACTTAATCATGCTATGTTGTGCTTTTACCATAAAACTCATCGAGTTAAATTTTGTGCACCTGATAGGCTGTTGACATATTTCAAAAAGTTTCAATCTATAATTGGACCCATTCAAGATTTGTTTTTTTAAGCCGTGGACTATTTTTGTCTGCACACCATTTTATCCAAAAAGTATGGAACACGGGTTAGTCGGTTAATGGAATAAAAACTGGACTGAATAAAAAAGACTTACGTTTTTAATCCCTATAGTAAATTTAGAGTAATTACAAACAGTTAAGGCACACAGTAAAGTTATTTGTCGTCTAAACGCTTAATCCATTTACATTTTACTGTGTAATTTTATGAATTCATGTAGGGCCTACTTTAAAGTACTGTAAAACCCCTTTTTTATGGTTTGACTCCAGTGGATTCGAGAATATAGTCTTAATAATAATTATGATTGTAATTTTGTTATTCATTCAAAATAAGAACATATTTCAACATTAGTTTTACTTTTCTTCTGTATCAATTGTTTATCCTCAGAAACATTCTAAATCTATTGGACAATTTCGTATGTATTGTTTTGTTTTACGCGTTTATACATACATCCACTTTGTACATTATGCACCTAGTACCTACAGTACCTATTAATTATAGCTCATTCTGTATATTTTTACTTTCTCCCCCTATACATAGTATATGGAGAAAGTATTGTTTTCGTAAAAATTTTCGAGTTTTAATTTTTAGTGGATATGTCCGTTTTGGGCCCTCCTGAAACAACAACAGTAATTTTCGAAGTGATGTCTGTACAGAACCTGTGGTCCGAATTTCATGAAATTTGTTATGTAGGTATCTATGTATTTACTAATCCATGGTATCTCCACGCGTGTTTTTCACGTTTTTAAATTTTTATTGTTAATGATGAATTTTCTATAAAAACCCATAAAATAACGAAAGTCAAATTTTCTCGAAAATGGCCCGAACGATTTTGGTGAGTTAAATTTTAGGTCTATATTCCTTTAAATTCTACAAAAATCTTACAACTCCCATTCCAGTTCAAAAGAAATTACAGTTCAAAAGTTATTGTAACTTATGTTATTTTCCCATACAAAAATAACATAAATTAAGAGTAAATCATATTAAAAAAAAAAACAATTTTGATTGATTGTAGTATGTTATGGTGTAACCCCTATTGCTGTAAAAATTACGATTAAAAAGTTAGAGTAACTTTATGTTATTTTCCCATAAAACCCCGAGAAAAACGGGAAAATAGATATATGAAAAACGGCTTTAATTGAATTTTTATATGTTATGGTTCTTTTTTCTTACAATTCTTTAAAAAAATAGTGTACCCCAAGTTGCTGGAAAAACTACGTTTCAAAAGCTATTGCAACTGTTGTGATTTTTCCCTATAAATATCATAGTTACTTCTATCGTTTATTCGTGATAAAGGTGTTGACAAGCGAATGGGAGAAAATATGTGTCAGATTGCTGATAGGTTTTTTTATTAGTAAAACGTTGTCCAGTTATTTAATTGTCTTCCTTTCTTTAAACACAAGAAACTTTGGAAAAGCCCAAGCATTAATAGTAACAGGCACATTTCTAAACGGTGATTGTATTTTTAAGTGTAAATCAGTAGTGTCTGTGTGTTAGTAGGTAGCCTTTTTCGTAGCACAATCGAATTTAATTTTATTTAACTTAACAGACTAAGGGAATTTACAATAAAAATTACTTCTCGTTTGATTAAAAAATACAAACGGGTATCTAATACTTTCCATGTTTACTTCTGGGTTTTCCACCCCAGGGTATTGAACCGATCTCACTTTTGCCCTTGGGGAGTTTAGGGGTTGGAAATTCCTAAATTCCTCAAACCGTCGAGCAAGTAGATATCAAGTTCAAGTTTTAAATCCTAGCATGTAGTAATATAAGTATTTGCACAATTAGTTATTTGATTTCATGTTTTGTGATTAAGCATCTTTGTTTAGACATATTGCAAGTGTTTACCTTTGCTACGAAGTGTTTTTTACAATCTCGAAGCTTATCTTTTATCTATCGCGGGATTCTATTCGATTACAAATACGAAATAAACATACTCACTCATAGATTTGTCCCTTTTATAGATCAATGGAATGTTGAAGGTATGTTACGGTATGTACAAGAAGAGTTTATTTTTATGTTTATCTTTTATTTCTTGCTATTTGTATTTTAGTAACTATTAGTTGTCCTATAATTTTCCCTACCGATTGAGAACGTAAACGTTAACCTTAAAATGGGAAATAAACTTCAAGTTGCATTACACTCAAGCGTAATCAGGCCTGAATCATTATCATTGAAGGAGACACCTCATAGGTGCGAGTCTAGGTGCGTATTTTTACCCGAATATCAGTGAAGGAAGTATCAGTGTAGACTGTTGTTAGAAGATCTGGAACAGGGATCAGATTTTGCAACAGATTGAAAAGTCAATGGTTACGTAGTCCCGCAATCAATGTTTGAATGACGTTGTGTCGGATATACGTTATCATCTCGGTAGCCTAGCCTATAGTATAGAGTACTAGACAGACAGGCTTGCTGATGTTATCAGTAAAGTGATTCTTATCTATGACGGAACTTACTTGGAAACGTTCTACATTAGGCTTGGTCCTAGTCAAGTGACTTTGATTGCAATCATTTCACTAAGTAACAATGTCCTTGGTGTGCGTAAGCTGTGTATGAATGGGGAAAGAGTCAGACTCATTCAATTCAAATAGTGCAAGACATCACACCCTCATAGCGAATTTCCCTATGGTATCTATTACCATTGACTTTATATCTACAGCTATAAAGTGTAGATATAAAGTTAACTAGTGTACCTGTTGCTCGAATTCGAGCAATTGGTAAGTATTACAGGCGTTATTTTAAAGTGAAAAACAGTCATAATTTCTGATTACTTTAACAGAGTCGCCTCAAAGATTATGGAAATACTCACGATGTACATAACAGTTCGATATAGCCTAATCAACATTTCTTGTAAATATCTTATCCCTTTTCAAAAGCTGATGATCATGTTTTTAAGTGTCTTCTACAAATGTTTCCCACTCATAGCCGCATTAGGTTGTCCATAATAATGATTATTAATTCTAAAAAAAAACACATTATTTCTATTTCTTCTACTTGGTGGTGTTCCATGACTTTCCCATGTTTCCATAGTTTGCAAATTGGCTCGTTATTGATCAAGAAATGCAGCACAGTGTTGGTCCAGTTTTATTTTTACTATTCCATTGTAATATTTAGGCCAACCATAATTCAAGTAGTAAACAATATTTCTTTGTTGTCAGGTCCTTGGAATGTTTAAATGAAAATAAAATGTAAAACTTTTCTCTCAACGTGTCCTATAGGTAACATTTTTTTGCTGGGTTCTAATTAGTTAAAAAAAACATGCAAACTGTTTACATGTCAATTACAAACAAACAGCTGGGATTTATTTTTTATACAAAACTAATGTATTGACATCTGTTTCAGAATGTAATAACATTCAAATCAATCACAATGCTATCCTTATGGAAGGAACTTTGAGGGCAGCCCACGCCCTTAAATATATATATTTCGAAAATCTAAAGCCAGTTTGCACATCTACACACCTAGACGAACATTTTGGTATATAATATGTGGGGTTAAATCTTAAAACAAAAAAGCCTTATTGTTCACAAAGTTTCATGTCGCGTATTAAATATATAGATGCTATTACGGACCGATATACTTTTTAATTTTGGTGTCCATAGAGGCCAAAAACACTTCTCATTCAAACTTTTAGATATGTATAATGTATATATAGGCCTAAATATATAAATTTATTCGTCCGTGAACGCGATAACCTGGGTCTGGGTAATTATAGTCCGATTTTTATGAAATTTGGCTTGAACATGTAGGTCGGGATAAACTTGAATGAGTTCGCGAACCAGCATGATCGGACCACGGGAACGGGGGATTATGGGGTAAACATTTCCTTTTCTAATGTTCGACCCCTAAAATATAAAATTTCCCGATTTCTCTTCAAACCATTTTAAAGGGCTTAACAAAATAAATAATTTTAAGCTATTGGTTTCGAAAAAAATTCGGAAAATTGTAAATTTATATAAAATTCCCATATGAATATTATATGAATTTTGGAGAATAAGTCATGTGGTGATTAGGTAGGTTAAATTGAGGCCATAACACATACTTTTTGCCATCTTCTGTTTTGCGAATGTTTTAAGGAAAGTACGCGGAATTCATAGACTTTAAATTTAAATTCAACAACAGGACTACTGATTGTAAAACTTGAAACTTGTTTTATGTGTGTTTCGTGTATGTGGATTTTGAGGAATATAGACGACTAAATGGTTTGGGTAGATTTTATGAGTCCATGCTTTATATTGGGTTACTATACCACATGGAAAGCAATCGTTTGTAGATAGTTTTGTTTTGCTGAAATACTTTGTTTTTAAATTGTTTCAATAGCAAAGAACAAGTAAGTAGTAAACAAAACACCTTCTACATAAGCTGGACGGGATGGTTTATTTGACTTCACCTAATCCAAAACATTAAGATGAGAGATTTCAAGGGAGTATGTTGGGTGTTCTATGTTGACATACCGAAACACATTTGTATGAGACCCTTCCCTGAGAATAGAACTAGACTATAGAGGGTGACTTTTTCAATAATAATATCTACAGCTGGTCCACATAGGATGTCTACCCTCGGTATCCAAAGTCAATGTTTAGACTTAATGTTGGCCATCCCCCAGGCTGGTGGTAGGAGCGCCTCAGGCCCAGGAAGAAGGTTTGAAGGGCGAGAGAGTTCGACAACCTGGCGCTGTCTACAAGTGTAACCTCACCGACCTAGACAGGACAAGGTGCTACAAACTGTCTATTCTCAGCAAAGGTGAGCCTAGAATAAGCACCTAAATAGAACAAATGTGCCTATTGGCACAGGCAAGCTTACAAGTTTACCCAACATCACGGTACATCACGGTAACATCACGGTTTGTTTACCGTACATCACGGTAGATGATCTGTGGTCAATGTGAATTTGAGTTTTGTGGTTTCTTCTGTTAGCGTACTCCATATACCCCTAGGAAATAACCTACGTTTATTCGAACGATTCACGAACCATTGGAACTTCCAATGGTTGAAACCATTGATTGGACTATTGGGAACGGGGTTTAGAGGTAAAAAGGTGTTTTCCCCCCGAAACATACAATTTATATATTGCTCTTTAAACTATTTTGAAGAGCTAAAAAAATAGTTTACTATATTGAAGGGTATTTGAAAAGTTATTGCTTATGGTTGGTTACAGAGAAAATTCAAAAAATATAAAATTAAAAATCTTTATGTTATTCTTATGGGGATAAGCAAACTGTTGTAGTTGGCTTGTTTATGGATATATATCAAACTTGGCAAATGAATTACGAAATAAGCTATTTGGCAGTTCTGCTTGTTTACATTGAAATTTCAACGCAAAGGTAAACATTGTGAATTTTCTCATGGAGACCAATTAATATTTATTTTTGAAAACCTCACCTCATAACTTTGGACATCTAAGGTAGCCCGAGAGGAACTCAGGGAGTGAATAGGCCTATGACGTTCCTAGATGTGTGGACCATCTTTGTGCTTAATTTTGGCTTTATCGGTTCAGTATTTTAGTCGTGACAGCTGCCCAGACAGACATACAGACACCAGCTCAATTTTATAATAGTATAGAGAGATAGATAGAAGATAAAATGTATAAAGTGTGTTTTTATACTTCTTTAAAAACTGCAATATATAGAAATATGCAGTTTATTGAAATCGTCTATTGACGTAAGGGCCACGAATTTAATGTGAAGTTCCCATTCACCCCCTTTCTCCCCCTACCCTTAACTTAACATTTTTAAATCGCAAGGTAAGGTACCCCTTTTATTTTTTATTGAACAAGCATTTTTCAAAGGTGTGACTAGCTGGCATGCTTGTTCAATAAAAAATCCGTAACAAATCCGAAAATTTTTACAAATTTTATAAGTAGGGCGATTTTTTAAGGTGAAGGAGTGAGATTTTCGGAAAACGCTCAAAATAGTATAGTAGAAAATTTACAAAACAAAAATTTACATAATTTTATTTTAGGAATATTTACAAAATTCCTGACCATGCAAATTCTTTCAAATCGTTGCTAGGTCTTATCGTTTTCAAGCTACATCCGTTTGAAAAAAAATGTTTTTCTTAAAAAAGGGGGCGAAAAATTCAAATTTTGAACTGCCATAATTTTTAAGAGGATTGACGTAGAGATCTCTAGTTTCCGCCATTCTTTTTTCTTTTTTCATGCCCTCACATTATGTCAAAAGGGGTACCTTGCAATTTAAAATTTTAAAGTTAAGGGTAGGGGGAGAAAGGAGTTGAATGGGAACTTCACATTAAATTTACAGCAATTGTGGCCCCTACGATTCCTGCAAACTGCATATTTTGATCTATTGCAGTTTTTACATAAATAAAGAAGCAAGTTAAAAAAAACACCCCGTATAGCAAACAAAAACAACAACATGCCATACACGAACACTACACATGGAACTGCACTCCATACTAGCGGTGTTGCACGGAGCACGCTTCAAGGCTTCAACTGATTAATAGGGGTTGTGTGGGGGAGATGTGAGAGCAAAATAATGTTTAATCGAATCCTAGAAAGAGGCACGTGAGATACAATTATTTACAACTGATGGCTGGTGATGACACATCGCCCCAGATGAAAACTCTATGGTGTCACCTATGAAGGGTTGAAATCAGCTACTGTAACCATTAGAATAGTTTTACTTTGTTTTTTATTTACAGAGGATAGACAAGAACAAGATCTGCGATGGAGGTGGAAAATCGTCAACATTCCCAAGAGAGCGTGGTTAGGAGCGACAATCACAACGGAAAACCAACCCAATGGAGCAGTGGTGGTAAGCTTGGAGTTAGAAAACAGGTGTTTCAAAATTAACACCTTGGTGTGCTGCAATGGGCACAAATCAAGCCAATAAGTGTGTGTCCCAAAAACCGTTTTACTCTACTTTTGTTTGTAAATATTTTGAACAAAAGGACAAATTGTAGCCTACAGCCTACTATTTATAATAAAACACCTCTACAGCATTTGGAACTTTCAATAAAATAATGTCTGTAACCTATTACGACTCATTAATAAAAATTAAATGCAAAAGACTCCTAATTTTTCTGTATCAATTGAAATAGTTTTAAATCTTTGGTGATTTTTAGCTTTCCATGTTTTAAACCTTATTATGTACAGATATAAGAAGGTGTAATGTATAGCAGGACAGCTTGCTAAAAATTAGATTAAATTTAATAATAGAAAATGATTATATGCAAACATTTTTACTATAGTTCGTTCACAAAATTTTGGAGGTTTAAGGGGAAGGTTTCCTGAGTTCCCACATGGATTTTTAGCTTCATATAAATCAGCTGATCAGCTGTTAATTTCATTGTAAAAGAGAGGTGGAGGGAATGGAATCGCTTCCCCTCAATTTTTTTCCGCCTACATTTTTTAAATGGAGTATAGCTAATAACAGGTGATTTTTATAGCAAGGTCCTTAATAAAATCGCAATGATCAAAGATAGCAGGGCCCATTTTCATTGCATAAAAAAGCTTCTAATTTTTCTCTTGGCTGAACCCTGGGCCATAACAACCTTCTGATTACGGAATGCGAGCACTATCTACTCATCTACCCAACTATGCTGGGATAATATCTGAGATGGCAACTTTCATAAACGTTTCATGTACCCTTCACTAATCTATGAAACCTAAATATTTAACAAATGAAATGTATATTTAAATAACTATATCAGATGTTCAACATTATTATCCATGGCATATAAAACAGTTATTCTATGCCAACAAACTTATTTATATTGTGTAATGATTTTTCAAGGTTTGTGCTCCCAGGATGAAGCAGATGGTCATGAAAGATACTTGGTTTATTCCTGGAATGTGTTTCTATTGGAAAACCGATGACTTGATACTACCATTGGTTCCCTTAGAAACAGGTAATATAGCCCTATGTAGCATACTACTTACCTAGAAAGATACTAGTTTTGGGAGAAAAAGTTTAACTATACCTATTAAAAATTGCAGATGCTGTTAAAAATAATAAGATAGTAAATGTAACATCAAATACATCAACTTAGCAACAATGCATTTCTATCATTGCAAAAAATTTTATATTTTAATTTTATGTTGAAGTGTGTCTGTATATTTTGGTACTTGGAGCATAAGAACTTTTTGGAAATAATATTTTTACTATGACAAAACTCGCCATAGAGTTATAAAACCAATACTGCTTGTGAAAAGAAAAAAGAAAATTTAGTTTGTTTATGAATTGTTTTACTTATTTTTTTCTATCATATCATAAAGTATGAAGGTATAATGTATTATGTATTACATATTTATCATAAAGGAATAATATATAACCTAGAAAAATTACAAATGGAACAATGGAACTCCTATGAGTTATTTCCACCTATGGGTACAGGGTACTGAGTAATTGTTATCTAGAAAATTATCAGAAGGGTTTTACATTAATTACCAATCCCCAATCTTAAAAATTATGTTATGTACTCATCTCTAAAACCTGCTGTTATGTAATTATAATCTAAAACCTGGAACAAGATACATGTTTGACTGACTTAATTCCTAAACTTGGATTATATTTATATCTTCAAGGTATGGTAGATTGGTATTGACAATATTGACATTTTTTACCCTAACTTTTTTAGCTGCAGCATACCGATATGGAACTAATTATCGTAAGAATGGATTCCTCATCGGCCTAGCCCAGTCAGGAATGTCAGCTCACTTTGTCGAGGTAATAGAATTTGTATTGTTTATCATTTATGACTAAAGCATAGTTGGATTAGATATACTGTGACTATAAAGAGAAAACACATCCAAGTCTGTCTTTAAATTTGACATACTATCATTATGTTAATGTTAAAGTTTTGGCCAGTTTCAGAAATACGGTAAATTAACTCAGTTTTATCGGGCCAATGAAGGAGTGTATTGCTATATAAATGAAGATTAAATTTGTATACAACTTTTTAAATTTTGTTTTAATTTCCATAAAAAACTTGAACATTATCTATGTATTGTATTTTGTACTCTTTAAAGTTTTCTAGTTGCTATGAAGATAAAATTGTATCAGCGAGGCAAAACAACAATTATTTGTTTACAATTAATTGTTATTATCATTGATGATACCTTTACATTTATTTAATCTTAACCCTAGGGCCTACTTTCTGCACTGCAGTTAATGATGTCAATAGATAAATTTTGCTTTCAAGTTTCAAGTGTGCATCTCCAGTTAAAGCTGTTTTATGGTTATAACTTCTACAAATATTCTATTGCTAAGAGGAACACATTACTTTCGTTAAATTATACCCATATTGAAATCAATTGGTAATAGTAAAATGAATTTTTTTTTAACTTAACCATAAAACAAAGCCCTAAAAAAATTTCTCAGGTATATAATGGGACAAAGTTTCCGAAGCCAAGACTTAGGTTCAAATTTCAAATAAATTGAACCAAAATGATTTAATTTTCTAAGAAAATAAAAAGTTGTACTTTTCAGAACTCAACAACAAGTCAGCTAGTAGTTGGAGCTACTGGGGTGGGATATTTTACAGGTTTGTTTCAATATTTACTCTTATTCTACAAAATAATTATGTGTAAATTACAGCAGCCCTTATACAGCCCTCATACTAATGATGGATGTAACTGAATTATATTTCAAAATAATTTTTTTTCAAAACCAATATGTTGATGTTTCATATATTGGGCAATGAAAATAACAAACAAAGCTAGTCTGGTGATTAAAAACTATACTTTAATATCAAAGAAAATTCTCATATTTTCATTATGCTGGCCAGGAAAACACTCGCCTTACGACGTCATCAGATTTAAGAGAGAGAGAAAAACTTTATTACAAAATCATCAAGATTTGAAATGACGTCAACAATTGCATGTCGTAGGCTACACTAGAGTAAAAACTGTGTGTGAAAAATGTTTATGAACCTTGTAAGTTTTTCTTACTATCTAAGGTGAGCGGAATTGCACGAGAATTCTCCAATTGCATTCCACAGGCCAAGTCCGTGGAACTAGGAGCGGGGCATTGGGGTTTATGAAAGTAAACCAGTAAACACACACAACTTACAAATTAAGATTTTTTTCTTTGCACGTGAAAAACCTAAGTTCTATACTTAATTACCCTGTAAGTTGAAAGTTTATTGTTTGTCAAAACTCCTTGTGACCTTGATCAGACGCTCGTATTGAAATGTCATGAGAACAGAGAGTGTTGTATATATATTGATAGTATAATATTAATTAAAGGCTCATAGATTAATAGTTTGTAAAAGGGTTTAAAATAAGGGCTAATCCTTTTCAAACTCATCCATGAAAGGTGTAATGAAATTATGAATGAGGTGTGTTAAGATAAATATAAAGTATGCACAATTTTTCTTTTCTTCTTTCAGGAGCGATGAATGTTTATGAACAAGATCAACCCTTCAGCCAAGTAATTCCTTCGCTTCATGCACCAACATTACCAACTGTGTCATATGACAGCTATTTGGGTAAGTAATGTAATTATTAACAAGTGGGTTATTGTAAGCAGGTCAGGAGGAGTGGAGTGTGATGAGCTATAGTTTTTGTCATGTTACCTGAGGCAGCCCTGTGTGTTGAAGGAAAAGGAGTGATCTTGATTTATAGGTAACAGTTTGTTTTGATCCAATGTTCAACTGCCATAGTGGAGTGTACACATTTTTTAATGATTATTGATGAATATATTTATAATATCTCTTGATTATTCTTATTACAGCTTCCTTGTAATTCACGATTCACGGTTCCCTCCTGGACATGTTCTAGGATAGCAATCAATTATAAATTGGGTTAATGAATTGTAAACAACAAAGAACATGCTGACAATGCTCAAGTAACCACAAAATGTCTATACAATTTTCGAAGAAGTGTTGTCTACTAAAAACAAAAGAGCAGCGAGGATGGATTTTTTTTTATTCCGCTAATCTATCCAGTTGTAACTTTTACTAAGGGGAAAATCATCATCGACTTTGATTGCAGGCTACTCAGTGTCTTCAGCCAAACTCCACATTGATGGAAGAGTCAGCTATTTGGCTGGAGCTCCGAGAGATAAAGGACAGGATTACTACACAGGGGTTGTGAGTAAACTTTCAAAATTACTAATTTGTACTTGAACAACTATAGTAATTATTTTGCAATTGATATGTTTCTTAGTTACATTAAAAATCAGTGATGGTAAATATCTGAATAACTGAATTTCCTTTACTAAAGGCAGATTTTCAAGGAGAGGAATTGGTCCGCCGATTGATACATTAGTACAATGGACACAATTGGCACACATTAAAATATTTAACAGATTACCCTGAACTACAACAAAACATACAAGAACTTAATTTGTCTGAGCAATTTTATTTTAGTCTCCTGGAGATTATGCGGAAGATTGGAGTGTGCATAGCTGGAGTTCTAATGTTCTTAACTCTACAGAGTTTTATGTCTAACTATGCAATTTCCTTGCAGGTGTATGTGATGTCTGGTGCTCACCAATCCACATGGTCCATTGAGACTAGATTGGAAGGACAACAGATGGGAGAGTATTTTGGAGCTTGTGTCACTTCTGTCGATGTGAACATTGACGGAGTGGATGACCTGGTGTTGGTAGGAGCTCCACAACACAGCTTACAACATTTGTCAACCATAGACACCGGGGAACAGGGAATTCTCTATGTCTACAGGAATGTTAAAGAGGTGAATACAGACTTAGTACATTTACATACAAACAACAACTTCATAAGTAATGTTTAACGTGCAATCAGTTTTAGATACTGTACCTCATTGCTTGCAAACCTGTTGGTTGCTGATAGTATCTTGAGAGCTGATATCCACTACCATCTTGTTATTTTTGTAGAAAAATTAATTTTTTAATTCTAGCTACATTTTTAAGAAATACTGAGTACCGAATGAAAGAGCTACCGTACCTAAAATGATGTACCAGTACGGTAGTAAATTTTAATGACAGCAACATAATAAATATTATCATTTCAAGAATACAAATACACAACCTAGATTAAGAAAAGACAACTTGGCATTGTAAGATGCGTGTTAATGTTTAACGACAACAAGAATTAGAAAGAGGTTTCTATTTCCAAAAACTAAAAGAGTTAAAGAGATCACCTTTAATTCCTAAGAGTTGATATAATACTGGTCATAATCATAGTACTAAGACTAGGGTTAATGCAGTTATGAACCATCCTCTCTATTATTAGCATAATTTTAATTACCTCCTGTCTGCTGACATTTTTGCTACAAAACAACAAACACCATAAGCAGCAACAGTTTGTTAAGTATCTTATTCCAATAATAGTTTTAATCAATAAACATGTCTTTTATAGAAAGCCAGGTTCTGTAATTCCACTGGGTTCTTCCTCAAACAAGTCTGGAAAATTACCTCCAGGTTACCACAGCAGTTGATTTTAAAACCACTTTTGATCAAGTTTGCCATCCTTATATATAATACGTGAAGGCAATTTCTACGAAACACTACTCCTCCGTTAATAATGGATAGATTTTTACAAATGATGTGTCAAAGTAAAGTATTTTTTTATAGACGCCCCCTTTCACTAATTCCTGTAATAAAAGTCCTCTGGCTTTGCCCCACAGGCCATCAAAATTCCAATGTATTTCTTATGAAGAAAATATTTTGTTTACTTAAACAGACGAATAATGTGTATTAACTACAGCTGTTCATAGTAAACACATGATACACACAAGAGCGTTCGTTTCCAGTTTCGATAACTGGAGTGGAGTGATTGATTACATTATCTTTGAGTCGACTCTTTTAAGTCATCGGAAATTATAACCATTATTCGTTTTGAAATAACGCCTGTAATTCTTTGCAATTGCTCGAATTCGAGCAACAGGTGCACTAGTATGTCTTTAATCTCTGCCAACCACAAAAAATACACACAACTCTTACAAGTTGTAAATCTCAGTATAATGCTCTACAGGGAAGACTGGAACTGACATCAATGGTCATCACAGGCTCTTCAGCAGCTGGTGCTAGGTTTGCTTCATCCGTCTCAGTCATCGGAGACCTCAACAAAGATGGCTATAATGGTAAGAAGGAAATAACAAATGAGTTAGAAAGATAACAAGTATGATACATGTACATACATAACATTTGTGTAAGTATTTGTTAAAGCTCTAGTATGTTTTAACTCCCTCCACCCTCTGCAAGGAGTGAAAGGAGAAGGCGGTATTAAACATTTGCAAAATGTGTGCAATAACAATGGTTCAGTCTGACTGTTATTTTTCATCAGTCTTGTTTGAAACAGTGATAAAATTAGTGGTGTTTTTTCATCCAGATCACAGTGGTTAAACTATAGATATTGAACTAACAAGACAACTTGGGATGTCTTTAAAAGACAACAGTCAGCCCTGAAAGTCTGAAACAGCCGATCGGCATTAAAGTTTCCTCACATTCAATAACTGTCTCGACAGAAACTGAAGAACACTGACTGACGGCCCGTTGTTAAAATATGTACAGCCTTCTGTGATTTCATAAGCAATTTATACTCGTTTTCAACCTCATCGATACACCTTTCTGCATTCGAATCCGTCAACTGGAAACAGAAATAATTATCAGGGATTGACAATAAATAATTACTTGCCGGGAGTGTTAAATTTCTTTCACAACTTATGACACTCTCCCTAAATGGGTGGAAACTGACTAGAATGGTAGTGGATGAAGAAAGAAATACAGCGCTGGTCTCTTGGCAGTGACTGGTACCCGATTACGACATTAATTCACGGACAACCTTAGTACAACAAATTTTATCTATCTTTTAAGAATTAGTCCATTCTCAGGGTGGTGAACTTTGGCAGTAAAATAGGTACTGTAACTTTGTTGACAGATGTAGCAGTAGGGGCACCTTACGAAGGAGTAGGTGCAGTCTATATCTACTTGGGAGGAAGACATGGCCTAAACAGCAACTACGCTCAACGAATCTCTGCTTCAGATATCAGAAGCGATCTAAGAGGCTTTGGTTTCTCATTGGCTTCCGGCATTGACATAGATGGGAATTCCTTCACAGGTGAGAGCATTTGTGTTTTTACTTTTGTTACAATTACGTTGGATATGAAAACAAAACCAACTTAAATGTTTGAGAGAAATTGTTTGGTAACAAGAAGAATTTTCTCATGAGACATAATCAAATTTAATTTAAGTCTCAAAATATAAGTTATTCAGAAATGCTAAACATTTTCCTGGCTAGCAGAATTTCTTTGATTAAAGAATATAGTCTGATCCTGATCATATTTGTTCATTATTAATAAATAAATATCTTAGAAAATCTGGTTTTCCAGTTCAGGACTCCTTTTTAGGTTGATCGCATAAAAATGTGATGTCTTGGGTATTTAAATGTTACAAACAGCCAATCATGCTGAACATCAAGTATCCTATATGTTTCATGTATTCACCATCTAAAAGTTTACAATATAAGTGTAAATATTTTGAATAGTGTTGGAAAATTTATATTATATCTGTTTAATATCACCACCGACAATAATCAAAAAATAATTTAAAATTTGGAATTTAACCCTTCCCGGACGGGTGACGGATATATCCGCCTAAGTCTTTGGTGATAAAGGGCGGGTGGCGGATATATCCGCTTATGGTTTTTTTTATGTTCCGGACAGGAAGCGGATAAATCCGCCTTCTCTTCAGACAGACTAGCAGGTGCTTGAGCAGTAACCAGATGTTTTGCGGTACCAAGGCGCCACTTTCCTGCTCTCTCCATGGCTGCGCGTTCTCCCGCACTCCCTTCTCTCTCCCACGCCTACCCCTCTCCCACGCCACCCCTTCTCCCCCACACCCCCCACCACTCCTACGCTCCCCCTTGACGTTTCGCGCTCAACACTACGTTATCTTTATTTATTGTTTACATATTGTTCTTTATTTATTGCCTAACGTTGTCATGGTCATATCTTCAAAGACGGGTGGCAAATATATCCGCTGATTTTCTACTCATCTGCGTCCGGGTAGCAGATACATCCGCATAGTTAAAAACGAGTAAAAGATTATTTTGACAGTATGAAGTGTTCCATTGTGTTTATACTTGTATAACAAAACACAAATAACAAAAATAAATTTTAATTTTTTCCTATAATTTTTTCCCATTCTATGTCACGATTTCGCCCGTCCGGGAAGGGTTAATTACATCTTTTATTATTTTATATCAACCTCAATTTGTTCTGTTGAAGGACAGATCTAGCTGTTGGCAGTTATGACTCTGCCAACGCAGTCATAATCAGGAGCTATCCTGTCATTGAAATGGAGGCCTACCTAAGACCAGCTGTGAGTAATTTGGATGTCAACGCCAACAATATAACCATCACAGCCTGTTTGGAGTATACTATAAATACAAACTCTGATCTGATGAATTATGTTGGTAAGTTTCCTTTGTAAACTTAATTGGTTATTTTATCATGAGGGCTTTTTAGGACACACACATGACACTTTATAACACACACCTTTATGATTGAAAACATATAGAAACATATAGTTTGGTAAAAGAGTCACTGAGTGGGTTTGAGTAACAATCACAACTTAGAACCAGCTTTTTGATCATTAGACTGACATTTAATAAATGGTTATGACATAAAAGTTATATCACTTGTTTAGTTTATGCCTTAGTCAGAATACCATAAGCATCTTAGCGAAAACACACTAAATCTTCCTTTCATATTTAGAATAAATATGCCATAGTAGCGTGCTAGCTAATAATGGTGAATGCTATATTAAGCTTTTCTTTATCCCTTCATAGTTGTCACAACAGAGTTTTCCTCTGGGCACATTTGTTTTTTAAGAAAAATTTACTTAATCACTATCCGGCAGTTTCAAGAGTGTCCACACCATATCCGCCTCTTTCTAAGAACCGATTAAACATAATTTTGCTCTGTTCCCTCCCTCCTACTGCACCTTGTAAAGAGTTGAATCCTGAGAGTTGTGTGACATGGTGCCCGTTTCTGTGTGTCACAACTCGCGCTACATGCTCGCTACTAGGTTCCCTGAGTGTAGTTCCGTGGGTCTCCTACGACATTGTTCTTTTTGTTTGCTATATATTTTTATAGATATGTTAAGTAAAGTGTTTTATTGATTTTAGTGTACACTTCTATTGATTATACATGGTTTTCATACATTCTTGTATTAATATGTATTTGTCTAATGTTTCAATACCCGTGAAAACTCCTTGTGTCACCGGTCGTTTTATAAAATCAAAGACACCCATGAAGGGGATGGATCTAAATTCAGAATTGGTGATGGGTTTTCAGATGCAACAGCAATTTTAAAGGCAGACCCAACACTGAAACGAGCATTTTTTGAATTGGGGGACCATCTGAAGGAAACACATATTCGCCTTCAGAAAGACGTCACCCATTGCTGGGATAACTATGTTATACTCAAGGTAATTCATCAATATTGTTAGATTGCTTTGTTTTTACAAATATTAGCAATAAACATTTAACAACTAATTTTAACATTTAATTTAAATTTTTGAATGAATTAATTTGCTTTTAAGGAAATGATTGACAGAAGACATAATTCTCCTTGACAGATATTGATTTTTTGAGAAGGAATTACGTGCCTTATGAGACTATGCACCTGTTGAAAAGTTTTTTTTATAAGGTCTAAAATATAGCCCTTAATATTTAGTTAGAATACATTTTTTGTTTTCCTTCTTTCGCCCCAATTAACTGTATGTCGTAGCAAAGTTTACTGCAATAGCTACTTCATCAAGAAGGAGCATGCATGTTCAATATTTTAAATTCTTAGTGCTCTAAAAAATGTTTCAAGAAAGAAGAAAAAAATCAGTTACACCATACTCCGTTCATAAAATTCAGGCTGTTTCAGGGGAAGAAATCTATCCCCTCCACACGTCTTGATCCTACCATTAAAAACAAAACCCAACAGCTGAGATTTGTCAAAACGTCAAACAGCTGCAACATCCATTAAACGGAAAAAAGTGGTGGGTGGAACTTCCCCTCAAACTGCCTTAATATTGTGAACGGAGTATAGTTAGTAAATGTAATACACTGAATTAATAGCCAAAATAAATTATTGGCGACCTTCAGATCCTAAAAAGGTTGTTGAGTGGATTCTGAGAAGGACGATTTTGGACCAAATTTCCATCTATCAACAGTTATTAATTTAATATATAGATAAAAGTGCATTTCTACCCAGAGGGTTAGTTATTTAATGAGACTGTTTTTTTACTTATCTAAGATCTAAGGTTTATAAATTCCATACTCAACTAATTTTGTGTTGTGGTTTCAGGGAAATCTCCTACAAAAGATGCAACCAGTAGAATTTTCATTGAACTACAAAGTTGCTGACAAACCAAGTATGAAAAATGGTAAGAAATAGATTCACAGAGTTAATTTGGAAAGTTTAATTTTGTGATTTAGTTTTTAAAAACTGTACAGTCACTTGATATATAATATACCTTACCTTAAAATGTAGATAAGGTTAGACTAAAATTATTCACTTTTAATTTTTCATTCATTTCACATTAAATTACCTTTTCCAGTTACTACAAGATAAAGTCAAACTAAAGCCACGTTCACGCCCTTTTTTACACTTTACAGTATGTGTTTTCAACAATCCAATGAACACTATAGTTTTATAAAAATTTTTTCAAAAGATTTTCATTAATTATAACATAAATTTTTTTTCCACAAGAAGTTGTAACACTTTTGCGACATATTACACTCGACTACACAACAAATTGTTTAAGACTTTTGTTGAGAACTCCTGTTTTCAACAAAATTTTTAATGCATATTGTTATATGTAAACTTTGATGAAAAATTGCTACTTAAAAAACCGTTGAAAATGTGAACTACCGGTAACTCATAATTTTTAACTATGAAAACATTTAATGTTTTCATTGAATGTTTGTTTATTGGAGTTACATATGGTTTAGTTTTACTGATGGATTCCATGTCCATCTATCAAGAAAGATGGATACAAAAGAGAGGTGTTGGTATACTTTAACGCTCCTTTTACACCATATGGCTTTTGCCGTTTACTTAGAAACCGTAGGTATAGTTTTATGCCATATCTTAAGTTTCATTCACATTACACGGTTTCTGACCTTCCGGCAAGAGTAATGTGTTTACAACGTCACGACTAACTTAAACAGTGTCCAATTGACAACCCACATTGTAAACAATTAACAGGACAACTACTGATCTATTTGCACTGGGCTGGTGGGCTCAGGTTCGACAAAACCCGTGCAGTGTGAAGACAAGCTACTGATGTACAGCCACGTGTGATAACCGTCCGATTCAGTGGCAGTGGAAGGCCACTGAATTGGCATGGTTTTCTGCTGTCCCTGTAACCGTGTAGTGTGAAAGCTTTCATGCTCTTCTTAAAACTACCAGACAAATTTAAAACTGTACAGCAAAACCCCTATAGCGTGAAAGGAGCTTGGGGCTATTTGCTCACACACCAATTTAGGACAGCCAATTCTTTGCCAATTTTTTGTAGTCTAAGATTTTATGTTTAATGTTTATAGTAAAACTTATGGTATTGCCCAAATTATATAATTTGATCTAATATTTTATTCTCTTCTTTTTAAAAATCCTAAAGTTTACATCAAATTTTAGCTTTGCTGCTTCATAATCTAGTTGTAATTTCAGGAAGTAACTTACTAGCAATTAATTACAAGTCATTTTTAAATGTTGTCAAGAATGCAAAATAGAGACATTTTTGTGCTAACAAGGTTTTTTTTTCAGAGAAAAGATTTTGCAAGCTGTGTCCTGTCACTGACCCCCTCAAGCCGACTTCTGTCCATGTCAAAATTCCATTTGCTAACGGTTGCGGAGGGAAGAGTATGTGCTTAGCGGATTTAAGGGTGCTGGCTGAATCTTCCACCGAAGGGTATGGATTTTAAATTTGTTGGATGTGATTTTCTCCTTGTGGTTCTTTGATTATTTTTATTCATTTAAAAAACATTACAATATGTCAAAAAAAAGTAACACGGTATAAGAAAAGAAACACAGTCTCGATTTTACCAAAACTCTCTTTTGAATAGCTTTAATAATTTTAATACAGTTTTTAAATTACGAGTATATATTAAATTTTTTTTTTTCTAGCAGCAGTTTTTATTATTTAGAGTAAGAAAGTTGTAAATATCAATGATGTAGGGTCTACAAAAAGTTGTTGGTATAGGAAGCTTTCATGAGCAGGAAAGACTCCATCTTTAGTATTCCTACAAGAAACACAAACAGTTTCTTGAACTTAGACTTCATCAAAATATGTTTATATACTATAATAATTGTGTAATTATACTGGAATTTTTGCAATCATAAATGTTGATGTATGGCAATACTAATTTCGACCAACCATTGTAGTAAGGTGGTACATATTTCTACCACAATATTTAGTATCTACAACCAAAAGCAAATAATATTGACAGTCATATGTTTATGCTTTTAGCCAAGCCATTGTTTTGGGTCAAGACAAAACTATCACAGTGGAAGTCAACATAATCAACATGAAAGAACCGGCCTACCTTGTCAGAATGTCTTTAAGCCTGCCCAAGTCAACAAGTTTGGTAAAGATACCACAAAGATGCTATCAAGAAGAAGATGAATCCTTGGATGACCCAGAGATAGACCAGATTGTTTGTGGTTTTGGAAACATCCTAGAAACTGATCAACTAATTCCAGTCTCTGTAAGTTTTTTAGTACCTATTATTTTTTTAACTAAAATATTAACATCATTGCATCTTTGGTTGAGAACTTATTTTTTGTAGAATTTTTTTATAGTGACAGTTTGAAATGTTTTTCTATGGTATAATGTTAAAGCATTATTTTGTGTTAAAAAAATCAAATAACTTAAATAATAATTAATTAATAATAATAATTAATAACACTAAAAAGATAAGTTACATTTCAATGTGCCCAGCTATAAATGAAAATCAATTTAAAATTACTATTTAGGTACTATTTAGAAGGTTTACTTATGTAGAAAAGCCTGTTTAAGGTTTAGATAAATTACTAACTCAACAAAAGTTTTTGCAATTTATTTTTCTATGATAATGAAATCTCAGTGCAATTAAATTAATAGTTAAATTTCAATTGTTGAGTTGAGAGAGGTTTTACTGTACCATCAGGCTGTTGTTTTTTCCCCAAAAGTAACAGTTTCTTTAGGTTTCATAAAAAATGTTTTTTTTATTAGCCTAATTGTTTACAAAATTCCCCTAAGAAAAGAAGTTTTCACCACAGTGTCACATAGTATGAACTAGGTCTAACAATACTGTTCCAATTTGAATAAATATGCATTGTGTGTCTGCATGCAGGTTTTGTAAAATTCTCCAATTTATATGTATTTTATATCAGTGGTAAAAATAAATATTTATTTGGATAAGTGAATGTTTTTGTAAACCCAATTCAGAAATTTTAGAAAGCAAGAGGGGATCAAGAAACACCCAAAATAAAATTTCATTTTTGATGTTAGCCTCCGGATTACGTTGAATATATAAATTGGTTTAAATACCTGCTTCTAGTAATCCAATTGTTGCAATTTCTGTCACGCAACTAGTTTTGACTTCATACAGAAGTCATCATCAGGCGTCCAGTTGGATGTCAAAATAATCACTTCATCTGAAGGTCGTCGATTCACACATAGTACATTCACACGCAAACACGCACACGAACACGAACATAGACATATAAAAGAGGTACATTTAGAACGATGATAATACTAATTGGTAACTTTAGGATGATGCGTCACGACCGGGTGAATGTAGCGTCTAGACTTCTGTATGAAGTCGAAACTAGTTGCGTGACAGAAATTGCAACAATTGGATTACTAGAAGCAGGTATTTAAACCAATTTACAAAATAAAATGTTTGGTCTTTTCCACCGAAATTCCTTACGTTTAATTTTGTTTATCTAAAAGTTAAATTTTTATATATCGCTTAAGGCACAGAAATTTAAATAATATGTGGGATGAAAACACTCTAGCATAATTTTTTAAAGCATAAATTAGTGTGAAATGAAAACATCAGATTAGGTATTATACACGCTGATGTTTTGTCTATTTATTTCTACAGAGAAGGACAACAAAGTTTGAAATCGACGTAAGCAGTGTTGGTTTGGAAACCTCAATGTTAGTTTTCAACATAACCACTTGGAGCGCTAGTGAGGAACAAATGCCAGCTGATAACACTAAAATCATCACAGTTCCTGTCAAATTGGTTGGTGAGATGGAAATATCCGGGTAAGATTAAAATAATATTCATTGCATTTTGAATAGTTAAGAATTTTTCATCATAAACTAGGCTACCTGAATGTTTTTTTGGAGGTTTGCTCAGATAAAAAATGTTAAAATGGTTTCATGAAAATGCAATATCATAGTAACTGAATCGATGAGTACTATATTATTACCATTATTTTTATTATTTACTTGCCACTCTACCCGTGTTTTGCAACGAGATGAGCATTGAAAGTGAAAAAATTTTGATTCTTTAAAATTGTCGAATTAAATGGTTACATGAACACCATTAAATTTGGAAATGAAAAGTTTGCTTAGTTTTATTTAAGTCTTTTTTTGTTAACTCTTAACTACCTGTTTCAATATCAAAGTGGTGCGTATACATTACAGATAGGTAAACAGCCAGGAAAACATTTAAAATATTGAACAGCTCTTTATTATAGTACAGTAAACATACTTTAATAGTTTTCAATGAAATAGCGACCATACAAAGTAGGTATTTTAAGCCAAGTATGAATGAAGATGAGCGTGTAGGATGAGTTATAGGATGAAATATATAAAATGGATAAACATTGTAATTGTATTTTAAAATTTTTCCAACATTTGAAGACGTGACATTTAATAAGACACAAACAAATATTGGTACAAAACTGTTAAATGATACTCTTACTTACTTACTTGTTGCGGATTTCTACAGCTTGCGCCATCTCCCCCCCCCCCCTCCAGCTTAAACAACTTTCTGAAATGATACTCTTACTTACTTTACTTATCGTTACATACTCGCTTGGCATCTATCTGTGCCCGATACAACATCATATTACAGTCATTTGTTTTTATTTTATCTCGTCTACATTTTTCATCCTCCGTATGAAAATAAATTTGCAGTAACTTTTTATTTTGATGCAAAAAGTGATTGTTAGGGTGCAACTAACTTTTACATTACATAAAAGATCAAAAAGATAATATGTTGTATAATTGATTTTGATTTTAACCATTGATTTGCGGATATTGAAAAAGAAATAGATATCCGACCATTTTTTACAAAAAGACTATTTCCAATGGCAATAAAATTACTCTCTGTAGAATATAGGCTATACACAACGATGTAAAGAACTACCTATACATTACTTTGGAGATATCTATATTGTTGTGTTAATATGTGAATTTGGTTCCAGAAATACAATGCAAAAACATTTGGTCCTTTCTTCTAAAAATGAAACATTACCTTCAGTAATATCCATTGTGCACAAGTATCAGGTAAGTTATATTATTAATCTGTTCACTGAATTTAATCCTACCTTCTGAACAACATATATACCAGGATTTTTGTTTTGCCTGTCCTTGCATAGCTTACATTTATGTTTTTTTACTTTACTTTTTCCACAGGCAAAGCTTTAAATTGGTTCTAGCATTGATTATAGTCCATCGTTTCACCATGAGTTTAATATTATTCAAATTCATTCAGTGATAAACCTAAGAATTATTTGAATTGAGGAAAATCTGTGTGGCCAGAGGTTTTAAAATTTGTTTTCCACTCTTTTAATGGTAGTTTACAATCATGTAAAGATAGTCTTTGTGATAAGAGTATAATTGTATTGAACAGTTGAATTGGTAAGTACCCATTGTTGCTGTTTTCCATTATACCATCTGGTATTTGTTGGTGTTCAAAGCATTTACAATTTTACTTTTTCCCTCTCAACCCTTGAACCCATTGGTTGTCACTTTACCACACTAGTGCTGTAAATTAAGTAATCAATGCAGTATAATTAAATGAATCTCGTCGATTATAAAAATTGAATTGAAACAGCTAGTTTAGCAAAAAAGGTTTTTAATATAAAAACTCCTTTTGCCAAGTATTTGCTTATTTACCAATTTTGTTTTCATTTTCACTTGGTTTCACTTCACAGCATATGGGTCAACTTTTTACTTTGCCAGTGTCTTTTAGACTGAAGAGGACAAAGTCCTTCAACAGCCTCAGACATTAGGGTCTCAGCTCACTGGACTGGAACATCACGGAACGAACTGATCAAAAGAAACAAAAAAAATGTCATATAACCTTTTAAGGTTATTTTGTCAGAATTCATTGTCCTACTTCTGGATATTGCTTTATATTAATTAAATTATTATTGTTACCTTACAATATCCGTTTGGTGTTGGTAGATAGACAACTACATGTTTCGTGGCGACTGCCACATCCTCAGGTTATCCTCTTCTCAGATTCGTCATCAATTTAAAAACATAAAACACTGAACACACGTAGAAAAACACATTACATTTATTTCTGTACAGTCACGGTGCGTGCACGCGTTTGGTCGGGCCGGCGGCGACATCTATCTACCAACACCAAACGGATATTGTAAGGTAACAATAATAATTTAATTAATATAAAGCAATATCCAGAAGTAGGACAATGAATTCTGATTTACTTGCGAACCAAGCAAAATGTTCCTACAAATACAAAAAAGTCGCCGCCGGCCCGACCAAACGCGTGCACGCACCGTGACTGTACAGAAATAAATGTAATGTGTTTTTCTACGTGTGTTCAGTGTTTTATGTTTTTAAATTGATGACGAATCTGAGAAGAGGATAACCTGAGGATGTGGCAGTCGCCACGAAACATGTAGTTGTCTATCTACCAACACCAAACGGATATTGTAAGGTAACAATAATAATTTAATTATTTTGTCAATCAATAAAAACGTCAGTAGAAACTCTTGCTGCTTGTTAAACATATTTAATATTTGTATGGAAATGATTTTAAGTGAATCAGCTTAGATTTGTTGTAAAATAGCTCAATGTCTGAGTATATTGACATTGAAGTTATAGTTTATGGGGTGAAACCCAAGGAATGGACACATATATACTAACTCTCAAGGTGCAAAGCTATAGGGAGTAGCTTAAATTTTGATACCAATCATGTAAAAACTATTATGTTAAAACTGATAGAACTGAATCTGCATAAACTAATACAAATTTTGGTGATACAGGTAACGAATTTTGGTCCAAGCCCCGTTGGAGAGCTGATGATAAGTTCAAGTCTGCCTTTTGGTTTATTAGTTGATGAATCTTTCGGAATGATAATTTTTGGAGAAAACATCAACCCTCAGGTTTGTAGATTTAGTTTGTTGTTATAATTTAATTGATTACACATTGTCTATCTAACACTGGCTCCAACCTGATTACCTATAAACTGCTAATCAAAGTATATACTTTTACATTTCTATCTAATCTATACTTTTATGAGTATCACATGTTATAAACTGAAATGTTTGCTGTAGCCCTATAAAAAAACTAATCATGCTAACGTTTTAAAACCTAAGTCTGAGTATAGCTCGAGGCAAGTTCGTTGAATTTCACGTGCGAGCACTAGTGTGCTTACTGGTCGTGTTTGGCAAACAGTGGCATGGTAGCTCTGTTGGCTAAGATGTTGCACTGACAGTATAGCGTTGAATTCTTTCTACATGCACAGGTTCAGGTTCAAATCCTGTACATGTGCAATCTATTTTAAGCTTAATATTGTGTGGCTTAGCTGGAATGGAGGACCCACCTTAAATAAACGATGTCCGGCTTGAGTGAAAGATGACAACATTATTGAGTTTAATAGGGATTGTACACAACACTTGTTTTACCGTAAAATGGGGTGAATAGAAACACTTTTTGACTTTTAAGCTTCTGTAAAAACGATATTTTTAATTTTAAAATTTTCAACACTAGCCCATATTTCCGGTCTTGGACTCCTCTACTCAAACCAGTTATAAATTTTTTTTTCTTTTTAATCATTAAGCAGAAAAAAAATAAAATATGGCTGTTTCTATTCACCCTGCACTTTGGGGTGAATAGAAACAATGTGTTAAATTGATGATTGTTGCTTTTCCCCACTTACCAGGGGCAACATAAACATGAAATTTATGCTTGTTAGCTTAGGTTGTTGTAAATAAAAATATTTAATGTTAATTAACACATTTATTTATAAGTACGAAGTATAAAAACATCGTTTTCATAAACCCTTATCCAAACAAATCGGAGAACATAAATGACAATGGGTGAAATCAGAGTTACAAAATCTTACATAGAAACCAACTAAATAAAGAGTAAAATCAGACAAATCTTCCTCAAAACACAACACCCCCTTAAATCTACAAGTTGTACACGGCTTGGGAGTTGGAAGCCGACGTACTACGTCATCGACTTTGAAGAGGGCCTCTTAATCTGTATCTCAGAACTTTTTGGTTAGCGCAATTTTCTTGATGAATCTTCCTATTCATCCTTCCTCGTCAAATACAAAAACTTTTGCAACATATAAACAATAGCAAGTTTTGTTTTTCCCCATTACTTTGACAATTACATGATCATGAAGGGACAACTTTGAAGACTCACTGATGTCTTGAGCTAGGTATGCTGGTTCTTCTTCATCAAATTGTTCGTTTTTGTCACTTTCTTCCAGTGAGAAGTGTGACTGATGTGGTATCATCTTCATCTCTGGTATTTTTTTTCTTTTTTGGGGGGTTTTCAGGTCCACCTTTATTTTCACATTGCTTAAAAAAAGTGTTTCTATTTACCCTGGTTTTGCAAAATCATGACATAACTTAAAATAAAAATAAATTTAAAAAACATAGTTTATTCTAAGGCTAATCTATTAACACACTTGGTGTTAAGATACCTAAGACAATATAAAAAATGGTTATTAACATAAATACATGTAATAGGTTTATACTTATAGATAAAGTTTTGAAAAGAATGTTTTTCGCCAAAATTTTAAAATGAGGTTTCCCATCATCCAGCATCCGATGGCAGTGATACCAATATGCTGAAATAATTTTTCCCAGGTAGATAGGATATGGTTATGATGGGGGAAAATAATTCCCTTATATAAAGTCAATGTATAACAAAGTTATAAAAATGTGAATCATTCATTGAAGTTTTGTTTCTATTAACCCTGTTGTTTCTATTCACCCCATTCTACGGTACATCTAATATATAAAATTCTCGTGTCACAGTGTTTGTCTGCAAACTCCTCCGGAACGACTTCACCGATCGTAATGAAATTTGGTGTGTAAATTCTGTAGGTATGCGAATCGGACGTAAACTATTTCCCGTTTCGAAATTCTTAAAAGGGCTCCGCCCCAGTGGCTCTGGAGTTTCCCATGTTAACCTTATGAGAAATGGAATTAATGAATCTTAACAGCTGTTTCAATTAAACAAGTTGGTTCTGTTCTATGATGTTAAGTAGCATTAAAGTTACAAGGATTACCAACAGGGTGCAGCACTATTATTTCTTTTACATTTATGACAACAGCTAATTTGCAACCAAAAGGTGAGTGAGCATAGCGAACGAACTTCAACCTGGAGGCGAGTGAGCGTAGCGAACGAGCTAACCTGGAGGCGAGTTAGCGTAGCGAACGAGCTCCAACCTAAAGGCAAGTGAGCGCAGCGAACGAGCTCCAACCCAAAGGTGAGTGAGCGTAGCGAACAAACTTCAACCAGGACGTGATTGAGCGATGCGAACGAGATCATCTTGAAAATTAAACGTAACGGTACTTTCTTTCCATCGGTCTGTCTTAGGGGAAACCTATAACTTAGGCGATACGAAGTTCGCCGGGTCAGCTAGTCTCTTTATATTAGTATCCAGGAGAACTGCTTTTTCTTTATTTTCTTTTATTTTGGTTAAATATTTCTCATTATGGCAACACACCGTTATTATTATCGTGTTGAAATTCTTATATGTTATGATAAAAGACATTAAAAGGATGTAACCTCAAAAAAATTATTATAATAGAGAAATAAAAAATATTCTGGGGTTAATTGATTAACAGTTTGTACTAAAGGTATTAATTATTGAAGGTTATTTTTATCACGTGTTTCCCTCATTTTTGGGAATTTTTGAAATTCTATTTTTTTAAATTCTATTTAAATGAGCTTGATGGACGAATACACTGTAACGTAAGTGTAAAGTAAAAAATTATAAAATTCTGACTTGAGGTACAACAACTCACAAACAATCTAGAATATACTCATCCTGTTTAGTCTCTAATCCACCTTTTACTTTAGATTGGCCTCTAACTACAATCAGGTGAACTCTCATAAATTTCACAACAGACATGAGATGAGAATTGAACCCTCAATATACGGTGTTGCTGTGGCCGAAGACAACGGGTAATTTAGCATAGACGGCTCTAAATACTTTATTTTTTTCCAGCTCACAATCAAAGGCCACACAGTGAGGTGTAGTGTCGACTACAGCACTTTGAACCTAGTTGAGAACCAATCAAGACGTAAGCGGGAAGTAGCGGCACTAGAGTCAAACGAAGTGGAGTCTTATCTTACTAAGAATATTTTCCACTTGAACTGCACGGAGGCTGGTTTGAAAACAGCTGCGTGCGCTTTGGTGACTTGTAGAACAGGACTGCTCAACTTTGGGGACACTGCGGAGATGAAACTGCAGTTTAACATCAACAGGACCATGATAGGTGAGAAAGGGAGAACTTGGCATAGAAGTCTCACCGTTTTTGGGACTGGGGATTTGTAGAGTTTGCCTACCAATCAGGTCGCTGTTTTGATCATGAGTAGAGTTGCTATTGGTCAACCCCTCTTCGCCCTCTTGAGGAAAAACTCAGTTGAACAAAAACTAACCAAGCTTTGTCCGGTTTTAGATACTTCAATGCGTCCAACAAAAAAACTGTTAAATTGATGTATAATAAAAGAAAAGAGATCTAAGGAACCTTAACAAATGATCTAACCTACATCCTGGCTAAAATCTATCAACCCGTCCTCAACCTATCAACCTATCCATTGAGCCAAAAAGAAAGTTAACCTTACAAAAATAATTGTGTTGGCTGTATTGGAAAAAAAATTGTTTCAATTAAACACAATATACTGATTTACTATTAAAATTTATACCTACGAAAAACTCATCTAGGTAGCCCAATCCCATATCAATTGATAATAATAATGATACATTATCTTACAGATCTGATTCAGCAACAGGATGTGATACAGATTTCCTCATCAGCTTCGGTGAAAATACCTGATGAATATGACATTTACTTTGGCAAAAGGTATTTATATAACTCATTGAATAACATTTTCTGCTTTTAGAAAACTCGTACATATTTGTTCGGAAACCATCTCTACAACAAAGGGCCAATTGGTCAAGTAGTTATAGCATAGGACTTCTCTGGACAACATGTTCCAAGCACTGCTATGCAATGAAGTAATGCCATTACCAAACCAGATTGGAGCCTACCTGGGATAAAAAAAAACCCCTGTAACAACACCAAAATCTCCCTCTAGAAAAGGCCGAACAATAATTTTGAATCCTTATCAGATTCAAGCCAAGCAGGCGATTGTGACTATTGGAGTTTTAAACCAATTAAATTAATCGAAAAGCCAAAATATATTGGCGTGGGATATTTTTAGGATGTATTTTTATAAAGTATAATTAAATATATTTTCATAAACTATCAATTTTTGATAGGAAATAAGCATTCTCAAATTAGAACAGTAATATTAAATGTCCATGCCTTAATTCAATTAGCTCTAATTGAATTGATTAGATCTAATTGATTAGTTACAAACAATTTAGCAATGAAATTAATTTTTGTATGAGAAACAGCTAATTACTTTTACTTATTTTCATTGTCCATATCTCAAACTATATTTAATTTATTTTCAGGTTAAGAATGGCTAGTGTAGCTACTGTGCTGGTGGGCAACTTTGAGGAAACTATATCTCCCTTAGTTCTTATAGTTTCCGCTCTTCTAGGATTGCTCTTGCTGGCACTTCTTGTCACAATACTTTCTAAGGTAAAGGAACTTTAGCATTAACACATTCACTACACATACAGAGGAGTGTAGGGAACCTCTGTTAAAAATCTAAGATAAGGTTAAGACACGTTATACAGAAGATCTTTCAGTGGCTGCTGGTGGACCAACATGGTTGGAGAGTAAGTTAGTCAACCATAAATAGCTTGGAATGTTGTGGACCTAACATAAATGCTTTCTATAATGTTTTAATTAATGAATACAACAACAAATAGACCTGGATAAAATGGTGATTTGATAAATTACAGATTGAGTAGTGCACTACACAGTAGTGGCAATAATTGTATCTACTGTACTACGGTGATAGTTGACACTCTAATACCTCACATGTTTTAGACATACAACCTGAGTACAGTGTTATGGTTGGTTGGTTTTGGTCTCCAACACATCTAGCGTTGCTACTGTACATTATTGAAACATTATCTTGGTCTAAGTTTGGGTTGTAAAAACACTGATTATCTCTTTTTTATCAAAAAGGAAATTAATCATAGTGTGTGTGTGTGTATTTGATATTGCAAGGGGAGGACTCTCTCACAATCCTAGTTCACCAGCCACTAAATAATAAATCTTGACAATAACTACCATAATCAGAGCCCAAATACTTACTGGTAAAAACAATAGTTTTCATATCAGAGAGTAAAAGTTTAAAAGCTGTGAACTAAAATTAAACTGCCACATATTTTTGTTGCAAGGTGGTATTATGGGTTTTATATTTTTAATATCATAAGATATTAAGAGTAGTGTAATTGTTAAACTCGTGTTAATTTAACACTACCTTAAAATGTTCCAGACTGGCTTCTTCCATCGAAAGTACAGAGAAGACATGAAAACTATGAAAACTAGAGATGTAAGTATTGAACTGATAACTGATGAGTAGAATGTTAGCACTAAGCAGATATCAATCACAATCACACATTCTGATTCAAAAAATTTCTTTGGCCAACTGACAATAGGCTAACTGGGTAGCTAAGGGGTTCCACTGCTTGCTTAGCTATCAGAAGTTCCTCAGAGTTTGATTCTAAAAAAAGTCAGAACTTGTTGATCGTCTGAACTAGTACAACTGTCCTTGATCTGGTCTGTTAGTAAAATATCCTGGCAAAAGAATTAGCTGATAGTGAGGATAGTTATTATATAGCCAACTCACCATGTATTCATATTCAGATTAAAATACATGGGCAAAATATCTCGCCAACTTAGAGAAGAGATTAAGTTTGTGCCTCCTCTAAGATTTTTATAAAGCCAACAAGGTCTTAAAAAATAAATCTGAAATAAGTCAAGTTGATCAGATAATTTAAGTGCTCCAGTTCTATGTTCAAATAGTTATTACATTAAACAAATAAAAGATTGAAAAGTTATTTAAATTTTAAACATGTATATTTTTGCCTTTTGTAATGCTGATGATGATGGTACAGATTGACAGACACAAAAAACATAAGTCATGCCTCCAAGATGGTTCTTAAGATGGTGAGTTTTATTTGTTGGTGTGTGTTTCAACCTATTAAATATTTTCACTGAAGTTGTGACTCAGTTTTGGAGCAGTTTAAGCTGAATAAAAGAAAGACAAGTGTGAGCTGGTAAAGTGATTAATGGCTTAATTTTTTTTTAGACAGCAGGCTCACCTGATGTGAAAGAGTTTTTTTGTCTTTGTGCCAGCACTCTTTTCTATTCATCTAAGTTAAACTTGCTACCCCAACAAAAATCCTTGAAACATCCTCTGCTTTCAAGTCCAAAAAGTATGTGATATTACTATTACCTCATAAACTTTTGTCTGAATAATTTTCATTCACCATACATATTAAATATTAAAAATAAAGACACAAAACTGAACAGAAAAATGCCAATTGACTTGAAACGGACTTTTTGTTTAAATAGTATTTAATTTTTCTCTTAGTAATCTGTACTGCATGGCTTTCATAGACAAGATCAAAGACAGGAGATATATTATTTATAGGTGGTTTCAAATGCGTAGAAAATTATTTATACAAATTAAATAGCTGTGCACATTTTCTTTTCATACAAAAACGTTTGAGGCAGTATTCATATGGAAATACTGTATTATATCTACAATTGAATAATGATGATATGTTATGTTTTCAGGTAACCACGGAATTTGCCTACCAGGCGTTTCTTCCAGAGTTTGAAAATAACATTTTCTATTAGTATATAGAGATAGATCTAGATATAAGAACATTGTGATATTTATAATTTAAGTTAATATTTTAATTCCTGAAGTTGTTGTGTATTGTATATTAAGTATTAACATTAATAATGCTATTTTGTGTGTATTAGCCTATTAGGCCTATTTATCTAGAATTGTTGCAAATGTTTTAAGATTGACTATTTATGGAAGTGCTAGGGCTATAGAAATATACTTTGTATATACTAAGGAATAATGAATGTACATTTTATCAGATTATTGTAAAAGGAACCTAAAATATTCTTTTGGAGTATTTATTTTGGTTTTGTTTTAGATGTGTAAAATGTGTAATTTTACCTGCATTGAGTGGTCTTATTATATTTGTTATAAAAGTCCAACCTTTTTTGTTTGTTTCCTTCAAATAGGCTAAATAAAAGGTTAGCAAACATAATGGGTTTTTATTAAATTTAGACGGAAATAGAGATGTCTAATGGTACGATTAAAGGTATTTTGGTTTGTTAGAGTTTATGAATAAATAATCACAATAATTTATATTGTATGCACTCAAATTTAGCTATTGTAGAAGACGCTCTCTTAAATGACTCTGGATTAACCGTCACAGATATTAACGAGCATATACAAACTGTGCCTCTTAGTCAAAATACACGCTCTGCTGGCATGTGTTCGTAGGCTACCGTAATTCAATTTAATTACATTATTATAAAGTTTTCCGAGGTCCAGTCCCCAAGAGGATGTAGAGTTATGTTTGACTTTAGTATAGCTATATATAACAATTCACAGCAGCATGAGTTGGCAATAACAAAAACTATCAGTGAGCAGTATTTTTAAATCAAACGGAACAGCTTTAATAGCATATGACAGGTTTTTTGCATTTGGTTGGATTTATTCGCCTGATTCAAAGTTTGCATTGAAAATTTAATACTTTAAGGGAAAGTGTAGCTTATTAAGGAGTTTTTGAGGAAGGGAAAGGTTATAGCTGGAAAATTAGCGCCCAAAATCTTGTAAATACACAATGAAAGGTCCAATTCCAAAACTTTTCTCATAAAACTTCTCTCTCAATATCAAGAGTTGTGCTATGTGACCCTTAATGGTGTAAAAAAAAACCTGTACGCTAATTTTCTCATCTCAGCTCATAACTCTATCCTTTAAAGAAAATAAAAACTTAAGATATTCATAAAAGTTTATTAATTGTATTGATACTTTACACTAAGCACTAAGCATTTATACACATGCAATATGAAAATAAACAACAGGCAATAACTTCTATAGTCTTTTTCTCAAATCTTAGGTTTACAGTAAATTAATAAAGCTCTTATACTGAATCACACTTGTTAAAGTAGCATTGATAAGTTATTATAATCCAAAAGTTCTATAAGAAACATTAAAAACTTAACAATAACTTTTAAAGGAGCTCATAACAATAACTTTAAAAGCAATAACTTATGCATAATCTTAAAAAGAGCTGGGAAATTATCACAGCATGAAACTCAGCAAATAGATACAGAAATTATGTATAAGTGTATTTAATGGTTTGTGTAATATATGATTATTTTTTTAAATATTGAAAACTAAATGGCTTTAGTATATAAATTAAAACACTATTTATTATTTCAAATTATCATACAAGGGTAATTAATTATACAACTAGCTATTTGATTAACACGATTAGATCCTATGTTTTTACATTTTGTACACACATAACATGTCAAATGGCTAACTTAAATCTCACTAAAAAAATCTACATAATATTGTAACAATAACAATTAAAAAGTATTTAATATTGTGAAGCATTTTTTTCATTTTAAAATAAGACTTCTTCCAATTCAGCCATATTTACAAGATGCTAGTTGGTGTTAATTTTTTGCACAGATAATGTTGAAAGTTAGTATTTATTTTGTAATAATTTCTAATGATTCCAACATTTTTAGTGAGTAAACTGGGCTCAAAATATCAGAAAGAATGGGTGTCTGATGTAAGGAAGTCAGCTATAATACTAATTCATTTAAGTTCTGCTAAAACCAAAACTTCCCAGGTAAAAGTTCTGTTAAACTTACACCATTAAGTAACAGAATGATATGAATTTGATTGAACTATACATTAAGATCAACGATACGATTTAAGGAACTAGCAGACAACTAGGAATAAATAGTATTTAATCAAGGTTGTTCCTGGAATACATGGAGAAACGATAGTTTAGTTTTGCTCAACAAATTTTTATCCTAATAGACACTACATAATTTTCAATACCACTGTGTTTTTGTTATTTTTACATTTACAAAATAAGCAATTAGGCCTAGTTTGAAAAAAAAGTTCAAATCTATATTGTTACAGTTCTCATTGCGATGTACTGGGGGTGACATATAATGAGTCCATAACATGACACATGTCAATAATGTACTTCTGTAGAACCAGGGAGCAGATCAACTGGGGTCAATAGATTCTACAGCCTTTGAAAAAATATTTTTTAAACCCCAAGTACAAATTAATTTACCAATTGAAAATGTTACCAAATCACAGTATCCTTAATCCTTGATAAGATAGGCATAATACCTTATTTAAAAATGTTAAAGATGCCTTGCATTTTTGCATTACACCCAACCTCAGGAGGGTAAAAATTTCCTAGGCCAGACCATCAAATGAGGACATCCACAACACAAACTTGTACGGTACCAACTAAATGGGTAAGGTGCTTGTAATTTGATTGTGAATTACCTTACTAAAACAATCACAGAAAATGAATTATTCAACATGTTCGTAAATCATAACAATCATTGGGCTGATTTTGTATACCAAACTAATTAAATTCGTTATGTCACTAGATTTATTCTTGAAACTTCAGTTTGGTACAAAATGTTTGATCACATTATTAGTTTCGGTACACATAGTACTATTCAAAATACAATGGAAAGTTCAGTTTTGGGTACATTAGGTTGTACTTTTAAGAATTTACTGTTGCTTGTTACTAACTACTCATTGCTCATACTCTTATAGGTCTTGGTCATGTGATCAACTAACATTACTGATACTATCATAATCATAATGTATCAAAGTACCAGAACTGGTACCACACTCACAAAGTTTCAAACTATCATGGTCTAATGATAGTTTGAAGGAGCAATTTTCAGCTGGCCTCCGAGATGGAAGCACTCTGGAAACAGTAAAGCTGAAGTCTCATCTTGGACTCACTCATACTTAGCACTTCGTCCACCAGCCTGAAAACAGTTGTTCAAATTGGAGAGCTAACTTAATGGAATGAAAGTCAATTTTTAATATGAAAACGTTAATACTTTTAATCAAAATGGCGACCATTTGAAAGTAGGTATTTTAAGCCAATGGAGATAAGTGTACGATGAGTGGTGCGATCGACATGTTCCTTGGACAGCACTGTTAATTAATAGCCCATACAGCCAATGGCAACTAATGAAACTACAGTTTATAGTGGAATCCAAACCACGTTATAATACGGTTTGAAAATATAAGCAAGCATTTTAAAACAAGACTGAAGCCAAATCCAGTTTAGTAACAGGTCATATGACAACTGGTTTTTTTCACTTCTACAACTTGTAACATCACCATTGCTAAAGAATTGCTTTACAGTTCTTATTTCTGTAGCTTAAAAAAAGATATATACAAACAAACCATAAGATGATTATATGTTATAACTCATTCAATAAAGTTAAAAGAAGGTGGACACCAGTCAAGCGAAAATATTTTCTTAGTTTATTAGCAAAACTATGCTATATAATACTGATGGTTTCAAAATATTATGTATTATAAAAGTTAATATGTTGAACTATCATTAACTAATATAAAAATATGCACTTACTTAAGTTCATCTGGCTTCAAAGGGGGTAATGCTTCCAAGGCTTCTTCAAAATAGCCCCTAAAATAAAATACAAATTTTATGTTTAATAATGATTAATGAAATACAACTGTAGAATATCGGTCGTCCAACATTCCCTAGTCTGAAAAAGTTCTATAATGTCATAGACGACATAGACCATCTGTTCTATAATGTCTATAAGTCTATAATGCGCATGTAAAACACATTTTCTATCGAAATATGATTGTGGATATTTCGGTGTACAACTATTATTATCATTATCAATTGAGATGGGGAGGCCACCTATAAGGGTGTAGAAAGGAGTGATATAATCTTTGTAGCTTTGTTATTGATTAAGGCCAGCTGTTTTATTGGTCAGGATCGTCTTTTTAAGTCCAATGATCAGACATCTGGGTGCAGTTTTTAACCATCAAAAAGCTACTGACTTTTTCAGGATTAATCCGGCAACCTTTCGATTGTCAGACAATAACTGTAACCACTCAGTTACCCAACTACAATGAGGCTACAGAACATAATGTGCAAATGGATAGTATTATACATCTATAAAGTGTTACGAATCAAATACGTATATTAAATAAGTGTAATGAGTTAAGCAAGGAGCCCCAACTTTAAAAATTTCAATTTATTAAGTTTGCATTTTGATAGCCTGAATAAACCTTTTTTTCATTGGAACTTAATTTGCTGTTTTCTGTTTTGATCCATTTCACACTACATTCAATAATTATTTTCACCTTAGTGTTTTTTTTTCAAAATTTACAGTAATCCAAAATATTATTTACAATGCGTCTATTTATGCGATGGACTGCTGAGAGATTACTGTAATTAAATTAAACTATATATTTAAGTCTTTTAAAATCAAAGCTCTAGCAAGTTTTTACTGTCTTTCTTATAAAACTATCTCAAATTGTAAAATTGGTGGGTAAAATGTAAGTGTAACAAATTATCAAAACTATTTACACATCTCTTATCACACCTATCAATATTCCATATGCAACATACCTAGCTCTCTGAAGTGTGAATGGCTTGAGGAAGCGTTGCAAAGCTTGAATGTCAATTCTGGCTTGTTGGTTGCCTCTCACACTGAACTTAGTGACACAAGACATGAGTCTGAACAACTCCTCAGCCACAGTCTCCGTGATCTGAGACAGAACTCGGCCAACCAGCTCGGGGCACACCCGGTTGACCTGTCACAATACTCATGTACAAACCCGGTTGACTTGACTTAATACTCATGTACAAACCCAGTTGACTTGTCACAATACTCATGTACAAACCCGGTTGACCTGTCACAATACTCATGTTTAAGCCCAGTTGACCTGTCACAATACTCATGTACAAACCCAGTTGACCTGTAAGAATACTCATGTACAAACCCAGTTGCTGTCACAATACTCATGTTCAAACCCAGTTGACCTGTCACAATACTCATGTACAAACCCTGTTGACCTGTCAAAATACTCATGTACAAACCCTGTTGACCTGTAACAATACTCATGTACAAGCATGGTTTACCTGTCACAATACTCATGTACAAACCGGGTTGACCTATCCCAATACTTTGTACAAGTACAAACCCAGTTGACCTGTCACAATACTCATGTACAACCCCAGTTGACCTGTAACAATACCTACTCATGTACAAACCCAGTTGGCCTGTAACAATACTCATGTGCAACCCCAGTTGACCTGTAACAATACCTACTCATGTACAAACCCTGTTGACCTGTAACAATACTCATGTACAAGCATGGTTTACCTGTCACAATACTCATGTACAAACCGGGTTGACCTATCCCAATACTTTGTACAAGTACAAACCCAGTTGACCTGTCACAATACTCATGTACAACCCCAGTTGATCTGTAACAATACCTACTCATGTACAAACCCAGTTGACCTGTAACAATACCTACTCATGTACAAACCCAGTTGACCTGTAACAATACTCATTTACAAGCCTTTCTATTGAACCACTGATTGTAAAAAAATAAAGAAATATATATATATATTTTATGCATCAAACTTTTGGCTACAACTTTGCCACAGACAAAACCTCTCTAACCAAAAATTAAAAAAAATCTCGCATACTAACTTTTTTATATTACAAATTGTTCAGTTCTTTCACTTAATAATTTTCTTTAGCCTTTACTTAGAACAGCTGATGTTTAAAAAATGATTCATACTGTACAATTAACATAATTCATTTCTGTTCTTCTTGAAAACATGACTTTTATTTTTCTCTTTTAATTTTTCATTAATTGTGCACATGACCTTTTGAGATAGCAAGAATTACTTTGGTTTGATTTTTGCAAAAACGTAAGTTAGTGTGCCTCTATTCCATTGATTGATGCTTGGTTTCAGAGGTATCATAAGCAACCCATAATAAGATTTGTCTCCCATGACTATCTGCAATGAAAATGTATCACCATTCTCGTCATAATGA